GAGTAACAATTCTCTGGCACTCAGTAACAATTCTGTCTGTCCCTGAGTAACAATTTCTCTGGCACTCAGTAACAATTCTGTCTGTCCCTGAGTAACAATTCTGTGGCCCTGAGTAACAATTCTGTGTCTGTGCGAGTAACAATTCTGTGTCTGTGCAAGTAACAATTTTGTGTCTGTGCGAGTAACAATTCTCTGGCACTCAGTAACAATTCTGTCTGTCCCTGAGTAACAATTCTCTGGCACTCAGTAACAATTCTGTCTGTCCCTGAGTAACAATTCTCTGGCACTCAGTAACAATTCTGTCTGTCCCTGAGAGTAACAATTCTGTGGCCCTGAGTAACAATTCTGTGTCTGTGCAGTAAACAATTCTGTGTCTGAGTGTGCAAGTAACAATTTGTGTCTGTGCGAGTAACAATTCTCTGGCACTCAGTAACAATTCTGTCTGTCCCTGAGTAACAATTCTCTGGCACTCAGTAACAATTCTGTCTGTCCCTGAGTAACAATTCTGTCTGGCACTCAGTAACAATTCTGTCTGTCCCTGAGTAACAATTCTCTGGCACTCAGTAACAATTCTCCTCTGTCCCTGAGTAACAATTCTCTGGCACTCAGTAACAATTCTGTCTGTGTCCCTGAGTATGAATTCTGTGGCCCTGAGTAACAATTCTGTGTAAATTCTGTGTCTGTGCGAGTAACAATTCTGTGTCTGTGCAAGTAACAATTTTGTGTCTGTGCAGTAACAATTCTCTGGCACTCAGTAACAATTCTGTCTGTCCCTGAGTAACAATTCTCTGGCACTCAGTAACAATTCTGTCTGTCCCTGAGTAACAATTCTCTGGCACTCAGTAACAATTCTGTCTGTCCCTGAGTAACAATTCTGTGGCCTGAGTAACAATTCTGTCTGTGCCCTGAGTAACAATTCTGTGGCTGTGCAGTAACAATTCTGTGTCTGTGCGAGTAACAATTCTGTGGCTGTGCAGTAACAATTCTGTGTCTGTCTCTGGCCTGAGTAACAATTTCTCTGGCACTCAGTAACAATTCTGTCTGTCCCTGAGTAACAATTCTCTGGCACTGTAACAATTCTGTCTGTCCCTGAGTAAACAATTCTGTCCTGAGTAACAATTCTGTGGCACTCAGTAACAATTCTGTGTGTCCCTGAGTAACAATTCTCTGTCACTCAGTAACAATTCTGTCTGTCCCTGAGTAACAATTCTGTGTCTGTGCACTCAGTAACAATTCTGTGTCTGTCCCTGAGTAACAAACAATTCTCTGTAACAATTCTCTGGCAGTAACAATTCTGTCTGTCCCTGAGTAACAATTCTCTGGCACTCAGTAACAATTCTGTCTGTCCCTGAGTAACAATTCTCTGGCACTCAGTAACAATTCTGTCTGTCCCTGAGTAACAATTCTCTGGCACTCAGTAACAATTCTGTCTGTCCCTGAGTAACAATTCTGTCTGTCCCTGAGAATGAATTCTGTGGCCCTGAGTAAGAATTCTCTGGCACTCAGTAACAATTCTGTCTGTCCCTGAGTAACAATTCTCTGGCACTCAGTAACAATTCTGTCTGTCCCTGAGTAAAAATTCTGTGGCCCTAATAACGTTTCTGTGGCCCTAAGTAACAATTCTCTGGCACTGAGTAACAATTTCTCTGTCCCTGAGTATGAATTCTGTGGCCCTAACTAGCGTTTCTTTGTCCCTAAATAACGATTCTGTGGCCCTCATTAACAAGTCTGTGTCCCTGAGTAATGGTTCTCTGTCCCTAAGTAACTTCTCTCTGTCCCCAATTCTCGTTTCTGTGGCCCTAACTCTGTCCCTGTCCCTAGTACAGAGCGGTCTGCCTCTGTTCAATGACTGCAGGCAAATGAAGATTTCCAAAATGGCCGCTATATATACCTCGACCATTACACAGTGCTGGCTGGCTGGCTGCTGATTGGCTGATGCGATCACATGTCGTTGAGGAATGCATTGTCGTTGAGGAATGCATTATGGGGCAGCGCGCCTTGTCTGCGCGCTGCGCGCCTTCCCCGACATCCCCGCTCCGTCGCCGCACATGTCAGCCGCGTTTTTCGGATTCGGCCCCCTCCAGGACAACCTCTTTCCTAGCCCATAGGAGAGTCTGTCTCCCCTCACTCAGCGTTCTTTTTTCATCCTTGCTCCGAACACCTTGAAAAAAAAAATCTCTCTTCTATGGCCTTCCCAGATTTAGCCTCTCCTGGGTAAGAAGACCCCGCGTTTGGGCTGTAGACCTCCCTGTGTAGTGGGTTCCCTTGGTGTGGGGATTGTTATGCATGCTTTAAAAATTTCTATGTGATTATGCCACTCTACAGCAGTTACAGTTGCAAGAAAAAGTATGTGAACCCCTTGGGATTACGTGGAGTTTTGCATGAATTGGGCATAAAATGTGCTTTGAACTTCATCTAAGTCACAACAATAGAAGAACACAGTCTGCTGAACATAATACTACACAAACATTAGATGTTGCCATGGTTTAATTGCACATAACATGTAAACATTCACAGTGCAGGGAGGAAAAAGTATGTGAGTCCCTAGCTTAATGACTTCTCCCAGAGCTAATTGGAGCCAGGAGTGAGCCAACTTTGACTCCAATCAGTGTGATGATATTGGATGTGTTGCTGACAGCTGTCCTGCCCTTAAAAAACACACACCTGTTTTGGGTTTACTGGTTTCAAGGAGCACTGTCTGATTTGAACCATGCCTCGCAGAAAAGAGCTCTCAGAAGACCTACGGTCAAGAATTGTTGACTTGCATGAAGCTGGAAAGGGTTACAAAAGTATCTCCAAAAGCCTTGATGTTCATGTGTCCATGGTAAGACTTACTGTTTACAAATGGAGAAAGTTTTGCACTGTTGCTACTCTCCCTAGGCGTGGTCATCCTGTAAAAATGACTGCAGGAGCACAGCGCAGAATGCTGCATGAGGTAAAGAAGAATCCCAGAGTGTCAGCTAAAGACCTACAGAAATCTCTGGCACATGCTAACATTTTCGTTGACACATCTACAATAAGGAAAACATTAAACAAGAATGGAGTACATGGGAGGACACCACGGAGGAAGCCATTGCTGTCCAAAAAGAATATTGCAGCACGTTTGAAGTTTGCAAAAGAGCACCTGGATGTTCCACAGCACTACTGGCAAAATATACTGTGGACAGATGAAACCAAGATTGAGTTGTTTGGGAAGAACACACAACACTATGTGTGGAGAAAAAAAGGCACAGCACACCAACATCCAAACCTCATCCCCACTGTAAAACATGGCGGAGGGAGCATCATGGTTTGGGGCTGCTTTGCTGCCTCAGGGCCTGGACGGATTGTTGTCATTGATGGGAAAATGAATTCCAGAGTTTATCAAGACATTTTGCAGGAAAACGTACGACCATCTGTCCGCCAACTGAAGCTCCGCAGAGGATGGGTGATGCAACAGGACAATGACCCAAAGCATACAAGTAATTCAACAAAACAATGGCTGCAACAGCACAGAATACGCCTTCTGGAGTGGCCCAGTCAGAGTCCTGACCTCAACCCGATTGAAATGCTGTGGCATGACCTTAAGAGAGCGATTCACACCAGACATCCCAGGAATATTGCTACACTGAAACAGTTTTGTGAAGGGGAGAGGTCCAAAATTACTCCAGATCGTTGTGCAGGTCTTATCTGCAACTACAGGAAACGTTTGGTTGAGGTTATTGCTGCCAAAGGAGGGTCAACCAGTTATTAAGTCCAAAGGTTCACATACTTTTTCCTCCCTGCACTGTGAATGTTTACATGTTATGTGCAATTAAACCATGGCAACATCTAATGTTTGTGTAGTATTATGTTCAGCAGACTGTGTTCTTCTATTGTTGTGACTTAGGTGACGTTCAGAGCACATTTTATGCCCAATTCATGCAAAACTCCACGTAATCCCAAGGGGTCCACATACTTTTTCTTGCAACTGTATTTCCGTGGGGCAGTATAAGGCCCGGTTCACATATATATGGCCGCGCGGGCCACGTTTTGCACGGGCACGAGAGCCCATTAATTTGAATGGACTCCTGTGCCCCTTGACACGCAGGGAAGAAGTCCCTGCACTTCTTCCGAAAACGCAGCCTACACGGGAACCTCGGTTTCCAGTACGGTTGCGTTTTCCAGTGCGGGTGGGTGCCATTAGAAAAATTTTGTTATGGGGCCCCATGATTTGTAGGTATGTTCCTCCTTATCTGTTGCTTTGTACAGTGCCATGGAAGTTGACAGCATATTAATAATAGTTCCCCATGAGTAATGCCTTGGTTGACTCACCGTGCTGTACATTATTTGCTTTTGGTTTTGTTTTCTTTACTGATAACATCTTGCATCAGTTATTATTCAACTTATTACCTGATTGCATCATTGTCTGAATGTGACATCACCCCAGCATGTGATCTACCATAATGCCTTCTATACAGATGTATAAATTTGAAAATAAGCTCAACCAAAATTTGCAACAGTGGTAGTGTGGCCCCATTCACCAGTAGCAATCCTGAATACGACCCATTCAAGCAAATAGGGCCAAGCTACAACCATTGCTAATCTTGGCTGAGCGTATTTCCAAAGGTATACAGCTGTATTGAAGGCGGTAGGGTATAGCAGGGCCAGGGGCGGACTGACCATTTGGAAACTCGGGCACTGCCCGAGGGCCCGGGGTCAGTAGGGGGCCCCATGAGATGCCCCTGGTACCTTTTTCATAGGATTTTTTGAGTTTGGGCAAGGACACAGGGGTCCCATGATCCCTTATTGCCCGGAGATCCCATGACTTGTCAGTCCGCCCCTGAGCAGGGCTTACAATTTCAAGTCCTGAGCTACTAGCCGGACGTTAAGAGTTACTCGCCACCAACAAACACACACAGAGACACCTGTACACACACACAGACATGTACATACACAGATAGAAACATGTACACACACGTACACATACAGACACATGTATACACACACAGGCACATACAGACACGCATACACACAGATACATGTACATACACAGAAGTACACACGCACAGACACATGTACATACATACACAGACACATGTACATACATACACAGACACATGTACACACAGACACATGTATGTACATACACACAAACACACACACACATGTACATGCACACACACGCAGACACATGTACACACACATACATGTACATACACGCAGACACATGTACAGATACACACATGTACATACACACAGACACATGTACATGCATACACAGACACACACACACATGTACGCACACACACACGCACACCTATAAAAAGTTGCAGTACTTCATTGTTCACTCACAGAGCCGGGTACTGCACTCTAGGGGGAGGCAGAGAGCACAGCACACACTCCTTCCTTTGCTTTCACTGCACTCAGCTATTGAGCAGTCTGACGGCTCCCAGTGCCAATGACAGATCTGGCCTGAGCTCCGAGCCTGCTCAGCAAGACGGCCCTGGGGGACACACTTGCCTCCACCATAATTTCCACTCGCCATTGGAAATTTCAAGGCCTGGGGTAGAGTACATACTGGGGTTGATGTGACAGTGAGACCAGATGGGCCACTTTAGATCTTTTTTTCTGCCGTCACTTTTCTATATTTCTATGAGACCCTGTTGTAATCAGTTAAAAAGTTGAATAAAAACTGTTCCAAGATGTTATTTGCAGTAGCAAAAAAAACAAAACCAAAAGCAAATAATGTATAGCAGAGTGGGTCAACCAAAGTATTACTCATCGGGAAGTCCTATTATTAATGTGCTATCACGTTCCATAGAAATACCCATAACAGCAGTTTGACGGAAGGGTCATATCTGCTGCTTCTAAGAAGCAACGTTTTGCAGTTTCAACATGTAAACCACCTCATCTGCTGCTTTGCAGCTTAAGGGGGGTGGTTGAGGCAGTAAAGACGCACAAGTCTAAAGGAGCTCTTCTTGTTGGAGCAGAGACGAACAGAGAAGTGTGAGTGGCCAGTTAGTGCAATGGCTCATAGAGTGCAATACTAATAGCAAAAATATTAATAGGGTATATTGGGTTGATATGGTCAGGGGCGGACTGACCATTTGGAAACTCAGGCACTGCCCGAGGGCCCGGGGGTCAGTAGGGGGCCCCATGAGATGCCCCTGGTACCTTTATCATAGGGTTTTTTGAGTTTGGGCAAGGACACAGGGGCCCCATGATCCCCTTTTGCCTGGGGGCCCCATGAGTAGTCAGTCTGCCCCTGGATATGGTTATAACATAGATTGTTACTCTGCATATTTATTTATTTCAGGTACTTATATAGTGCCGTCAATTTACGCAGCTATATTTAAATATATATATTGTACATTCACATCAGTCACTAACCCTCAAGGGGTGTACAATCTAAGGTCCCTAACTCACATTCATACATACACATACTAGGACCAATTTAGACAGGAGCCAATTAACCTACCAGCATGTCTTTGGAGTGTGGGAGGAAACCAGAGTACCCAGAGGAAACCCACGCAGGGATAGGGAGAACATGCAAACTCCAGGCAGGTGGTGCCGTGGTTGGGATTCAAACCAATGACCCGAGTACTGCCAGGCGGAAGTGCTAACCACTAAGCCACTATGTCGCTCCAGTATATTGTTCTGTAGTTAAAGAGGATCTTCAGTTGGTTTGCAAAGAATGAAAAGTCAGCAGCTACAAATACTGCAGCTGCTGACTTAATAAAAGGACACTTACTTGTCCAGGGATCAAGCACCGTCCTCACCTGCGCCAGTACTTCTTGCAGCTTCCCAACCTGCTTCCCACTGCGTATGTGTGAGCCATGCTGCACTTTGTGAATGGTCCCGCAGTCTCCTAGGACCTGGAACTTGTCCCAAGAATTTGCAGGCAGGGGAAGGGAGGGGAAAACTTCCTGTGGAGTCGCTCAGGCGATTGCAGTAGAAGTGGGAGAAGGTGCCTGTCAAAACTAGGCACATCAAAAAATAAAATGTGCCAAAAATATTGAGGTGGGGGGGACATAAAGTGGAACTTCCCCTTTAGGGTGAAGTTCCACTTTAACCACTTCCAGTCCGGACACTTTTACCCCCTTCCTGACCAGGGCAATTTTCAGCTTTCAGCGCTACCACACTTTGACAATTGCGCGGTCATGCAACACTGTACCCAAATGAATTTTTTTAAAATACCATTTTTTTGAGACAGATAAAGCTTTATTTTGGTGGATAATTATTTTTTTTTGCTATGTAAATGAATTCCAAAAAGTTTGAAAAAAAGTGTTTTTTTTTATAAAATTTTGCAAATAAATAATATTTCATCATAAATCTTTGCCAAAATTTATTCTGTTATCTTTTTAGTAAAAAAAAAAAATCCAAATTAGTTTATAACCAAAAATTATAATTTTTAAACATTTTTTTTTTACATTTTTATTTTATTTTTTTATATTTTTATTTTTTTTACATACTCTCACCCTAGCAGTACAGTGTCACCATGGTGATTTTTCTTTTTTTTAAACATTGCTTTTACACCCATATAGGATGTAAAAGCAATCATTTCTCTTTCTCTCTGTCTGCATTCCTGCACTCATTGAGAAGTACTGAGTGACCTGTGATTGGTCACAGCTTGTCACATGGTACAAGGCTGTTGTGAATAGCCTTGTACCATGTGACCTCTGTGATCATTCACAGATTTCACACGTAGTAAGCAATGATGTCACAAGTGACATCTTGTTTACTACTTTGCATGTGATCACTGATTGGCCAATCAGTGATCACATGATCGGGACCTCGTACAGAGGTCCCGTCCGACGATCGGTGTTTCACTGTGTCCGGAGGTCACAGCGGGCACCGGATCACGGTGCTGCGCGCTCCCAGGGAGCGCGCACAAGCAGGGTGCGGGGAGGCCGTTTATAAACACCCACCCGACCCTGCACTACCACCATCCAGCCGTTTAATAATGCAACGGCCGGTCGGGAAGTGGTTAAAATAAAGCCCAAAAAAGCCCTCAGGAGGCAGTCAGGCTGCATTTAAAATGTTTTACAGGCGCTATATAAGCACCTGAAAATAAATCAATACTACTGCAGCGACCAGTTTCCTGGTAAGGGTATTTTTTTTAAATCCCAGCGTTCAGCTGTAACTGGACATGAAGTGATTTTTATACATCTGTGTCATTTACTGCTTGCCATGTGATATTTAAGTAGTTGCATTTTGCAATAAAATTTCAAGGAATTCTCTGCTGCTAGTAAGGCAAGGGTGACATCACCGACTTATCTTAAGGTGACAGCACTGTACTATATGTAGAGAAATGTTTTCCTGATATAATCAGTAATAGTTATATTGCTTGAGGTGATTGTAGCCATATTAGTGCACTTATTATTATTCATACAGGATTTATTTAGCGGCAACAGTTTTGCTCAGCACTTTACAATATAAAGGGAGGAAAGATTAGAGGAACTGAATTTATTCTCTCTTGAGAAGAGGTGACATTAAGGGGGGGATATGATCTCCATGTATAATACATAAGGGGGGGATATGATCTCCATGTATAATACATAAGGGGGATAATGATCACCATGTATAATACATAAGGGGGAATATGATCTTCATGTATAATACATAAGGGGGATATGATCTTCATGTATAATACATAAGGGGGTATGATCTCCATGTAATAATACATAGGGGGGATATGAATCACCATGTTATAATACATAAGGGGGATATGATCTCCATGTAATAATACATAAGGGGATATGATCACCATGTATAATACATAAGGGGATAAATGATCTTCATGTATAAATACATAAGGGGGATATGATCTTCATGTATAATACATAAGGGGGTATGATCTCCATGTATAATACATAAGGGGGGATATGATCACCATGTATAATATATAAGGGGGGATATGATCTCCATGTATAAGCGCGACGCGCGATGAAGGGGGGTATGATCTCCATGTATAATACATAAGGGGGGATATGATCACCATGTATAATAACATAAGGGGGGAATATGATCTCCATGTATAAAACATAAGGGGGGATATGATCTCCATGTATAATACATAAGGGGGGGTATGTATGATCTCCATGTATAATACATAAGGGGGGATATGATCTCCATGTATAATACATAAGGGGGGATATGATCTCCGTGTATAATACATAAGGGGGTATATGATCTCCATGTATAATACCCATAAGGGGGGATATGATCTCCATGTATAATACATAAGGGGGATATGATCTCCATGTATAATACATAAGGGTGGGGTATGATCTCCATGTATACAATACATCAGTGGTTCATACAGTGAACTCGGTGTAGAGTTATTCATCCTGAGGTCATCACAGAGGACAAGGGGGCGCTCTATTACGATCTGGAGAGAAAGAGATTTAATCTCCAAACACGGAAAGGTTTCTTCACAGTGAGAGCTGTGAAAATGTGGAATAGACATCCCTCAAGAGTTGGTTCTGGCCAGCTCAGTGGATTGCTATCACAAAAGTCCCTGGAATTATTTCTTAGATACACCAGAATAATAACTGTATAAAACATTTATAGGTAAAATTGATCCAGGGAATATCCGATTGCCTCTCGTGGAACAGGAAGGATTTTTTTTTAACCCTGCAGGATCAAAATAGATCACCGCTTTGCTGGGGTTTTTTGCCTTATCCTCTGGATCAACTGTGGATATAAGATTATAAGGTTTTTTTTTTTTTATGGTTGAACTGATGGACTTTTGTCATTTTTCAGCCAGACTAACTATGTAACTATGTAAATACAGCAACAATACCAGTTCAATACAAGAGGGATAGGAGGGCCCTGCTCCTTGAAGCTTACAATCTAAGAGGGAGGGCTAGTGGTACAAAAAGTGGGCAGAGTCAGGCCGATAGATAGATTGGGTAGAGAGTTCCAGAGGGGGTGAGGAGGCTCTGGAGAAGTCCACAAGACAAGCATGGAGAGGAGACAAGGGAGCTAGAGAGCAGGCGTTGTGGGAGGAGCGGAGAGATGGTTTGGGTGATAATACATAGAGACAAGAGATGTTTATGAAATTATTTGTTGGGCAATGGGAAGCCAGTGTGGATTGGCAGAGAGGGGTGTGGCAGATATGGGAACGGATAGTAAGGTGGGATGAGTCTGGCTGCAGCATTCATGATAGACTGAAGAGGGGATAGCCTGTGTATGAGGTCGGCCAATGAGGAGGGGAGTTGCAATAGTCCAAGGTAGAGAGATAACAAGGGAGTGAATAAGTTGCTTAGTGGTTTCCGAGGTTAGGAAACGGGCGTATCTTGGAGATGTTGCCGAGGTGAAAGACTATCAAGATTTGGACACAGTGAATGGATTTGGGGCTGAAAGGACAGATGGGAGTCTAGGATTACACCTAGTACCCTGGCATGAGGGGAGGGACTGATGGTTGTATTATTGATCTTGATGGAGAAGTCAGGGGAGGGGCACGGGCTGGGGGAATAGTATACACATTCAACTGGACTATGTTCTATAACAACCTCAACAGCACAAGCACAAGTTCCAGTTGACTGCAGCTATTACTAGATGTATGTGGTGTGATAATTCAACCAACAA